TATATATATAAATAAAAAATAAAAAAGCTACAACTGGTTCAAAATGTGGCTGTGTGGACAATCTTGGGTGCCCCAAGGATGGTGCTATAACAACTTTGCTGCGGAAGCTCCATTGGATGCCAGTTTGCTTCCGGGTCCAATTCAAGGTGTTGGTTATCACCTTTAAAGCCCAACATGGCATAGGTCCAGGCTACCTGAGGGACCATCTCACCCCCATCACATCAACCCGTCCCACCTAGTCAGGCAGAGGGGACACGTTGCGGACCCCGACAGTGAGAGAATGTTGGCTGGTGGGGCCCAGGAGGAGAGCCTTCTCTGCCATTGCCCCCGCCCTTTGGAATAATCTCCCCCCAGAGGTGCAGCGGGCCCCTACCCTCCTGTCTTTCTGGAAAGGATTAAAGACCTGGCTCTGCCAGCCTGAGTAGGGCAAGAAGAGCTGTAATCAATCCTGGGGGTGGCTGGCACTCTGATGACACTCCCTGAGCTACTCACCAATTCCATCAATTCTTGGAATTTGTTTTTTATTTATTTAAGACTGCTATTATATTGTATTTTAATTGATTTTATCTTCTCTGTAAACTACCTAGTGTTGCTTTTTAATGAGATGGGTGATGACAAATTTGATATATAACTAAATAAAACATTTAAAAAATAGTACCAAAATGAAATGATCTAAGATTTGGGTGGGAAGTTGGAAGGAACGTCAAATATTTTGGCATTCATTTCTGACTTGTAGCTGATACCCAAGAGATACACACATCTGGATCTACTGAATTCACACTGTCCTTCAAGCTCATTGAGGTTGGAGAGGGGAGAGAATCAATTTTCTGCAAGCCTTTCTTTTCAGATGTGAGCCTGCCAAAATAAGCAGATTTTATCCAGGGCATTAGAGCCAGGGTCCTGTTAAGGAACACCTTGAATCCAGAAGGAGGATCAGAAGTCTTCTTCTGCGCTGGATCTTGTTCTGCATCAGGCAGCTGGTGCACAATCTGTGCAAATGCCAGAGGGAAAGCATAGTTGGCGCTCTAAATGTAGAAGGGTAAAGGCATATACAAAAAAACTTTTCCCCTTGCTCCTAAGCTTTTTTTTTTTTTTCGTTGCAAAGTAGCTTGGCTGATCTGTCTTTGTCAGCTGAAGGTTAATTTATAGTGACAAAACACAAGGAAGTGCAGTGAGGTAGAAAGAATGGAGTGAGTTGATTTGGCAGCTGGCGGGAACGGGTGCGCTTTTCAGCACAGACAGGTGATGATTCAGGTGGAAAGGATGGGGAAGCAGGTGGGAGTGGAATGAAGTTCTCCTCTAACTGGCTCGGGATGTGGAGGGGAAGCCTATAGTTGTGTTACTGGAAGAGCTGTACCCAATTTTTCATTCTGCTGAATTGGCTTGGTTGGGATTGTTTTTGCCCTTGTGGGCCAGAATCAAGCATCCATGCCTAAACCAGCCTCCTCAAGTTGTATGTAGTTAGTCTTTAAACGTCTGCATGGGTCCCCAGCGATGTTCGAAGCATGGATGGGTGCAGGTTAAAGCATCCAAACAGACAAGGGCAGGGTGGGCTGAGCCTTCTACCTCATTCAACGTCTCTGAAATAATCCTATTTTCAAAGCCAAAAGTGTAGGGACCAATCAAATTTCCAGGGGGAGGCTATTCAGTAATGCAGGCACATCCCCTGAGAACCTCAGCCCCCATTCCCTGAAGAAAGGTGGAAGCAATAGCAGTTTCTTCTGGGGTGTCCAAATTGGCTGGTCCTATCCAGCTGGAGAAGATGCTCCTGGATGTATCTTGCTACCAAGCCATAGACAGCATTATGGTTAAGATCAGCCCTTGGAACTGTACTCAGAAGCTGATAGGGACCTGGAACCCCAGTGTAACACACACATTTAGCTGCAATCTCTGTTGCTTATGGGTCATCTCCAGAAGCAGGTCCTTGTACAGCACATTTCAGTAGTCCACTTACTGGCTTTAGGACTGAATCCTGCCCTAAAACCTCTCACTGGTGCTTTAATGCCTATATGGGTTCCTTGTTTGCCCCAACTTCTACTTCTCTTCCCTTTCTCTTCACTCTCCTCCATACTGAATGTCAGAATGGGAATTCTGCAATGCAATACCATCTTCCCTTGAGGATGATAATTACGACTGCTGCTGCTTCTACTACCGCTAGTCCCTGATTGCTTCCTCGACCCATCTGGACTCCAGAACCAAAATGAAAAGCAACCAGGAGGTGGGACTATGGATGAGAAGCAGCACATGAGGATCAGACCTCCACCTGTGGATCCCCAGGGAATATAATTTATTCCCTTTCCCCTCTTTAGCCATGACTGGGTCAGAGTCTCTTTGACAGAAGCAGGTTTGCTGCTGTCCCAGCAATTTGGGCTTATGGTGAGACCTTTTTCATTGTTCACATGAAGTATTCCTGATCTAGAAGCAAGAGATCTGCTGCTCAGCCACTGGATTCTTTTGGCCAGGACACTCTAGCACTCTTGAACCACTGTCCCTTTCCTTATCTGTAGCAACATGCTACAACCTCTTCCTTGAACTGCTAAAATCTGGTGGCAACAAAAACTAAAATAAGCACCTGGGAGTGTTGGTAACAGCATCCTATACACGCTGCATTAAGAATTTGGAACAATCAGTGCAATTCTCTTGGTAGCTCAGTGAGAGATGGCTGCTCAGAAGATTCTACCAGAGGATTTAGAAATATTAAGACTCCCTCTCCCTCCTGGTTGATAATACGTTTTCTCATCTTAAACATGCAAAATTATTCAACCATCAAGCTCTTCTGGGATCTAGTCTCCCAGGACTGAATTCATCTGAAGGGGCATTACCATGCCTTTCTTTGATAACGAATGGAAGGGGGTGAAGGGGGTGCTAGGGAGTGTGGAAGCCCATCTGCCTCGGGGGCTCTTCCGTCTGTCCTTGCAAAAGGAGAGAGATTTGCATTGCAATTTTCTTCTATTTCCTTGCCTTATCTGCACTCATTGTGTACACGTTAGGCAGAAAACAATCAAATATATTCATCAGATGTATGATCTTTTTACAGTTTTAAGGTTTTGCATGTTCCGTCTACAGATGGACTGTTTTCTTTGTTGTTGCTTAAACCCTAGAGCAGTGTTGTCCAAACTTGGCCACTTTAAGATGAGTGGACTTCAACTCCC